TAAATCTAAAAAATGATGAGTGTATTATACTTGAGATTGTATAATACATGAATAAATACGGTAGGTTTCACAGAATTGTTTTTTTGTACTTTTATTACTTTACAAAAAACAGCTGTCTTTAAAATGTGTATTTTTTCATGATTTGAGTTTTATATGTTGTTGTTTTTATTAGAACCCAGCCAGGACTACTTGAAGCCAGAAGGATACTCACCTCTGTGTTTGTGTAGTATGTGTTCCATGATGACCTGAGGGACTCCTGGCCCCCAATGTCCCACATCAGGAAGTGGGTGTTGTTCACAACGATCTCTTCCACATTACTTCCAATCGTAGGAGACGTGTGTACCACCTCGTTCATTGAACTGGAACATACCACAAGGATAAAAACATGTTTCAGATCATGAGTCATGCATTCATTAGGCTTTWTATCACCTAAAAACTCTGCACACACATAAAAATAACTCAAATCACTGTATTACTATACTTACAACTGGTAAAGAATTGTAGTCTTCCCTGCATTGTCTAGGCCCACAATAATGACTTTGTGCTCTGAAAAGAAAAGAAAAATAATTTGAATTTACAGASCAACAGTGACATCAATATGTGGGTTAGGTGTTTATGTATGAGTGTTGTATAAACTCAGCCACCAGTGCACACTGTTTAAAACTTGGTGTGCACTGGTCTTTTGTATTCAGCACAAAATCTGGGTAACAAACTGCAGAATTAGAATCAGTACGACAKTGATGCTGCAAATRGTTTATTTCAAACTTTGTTTTCTCTCCAACGTACATCTGAGTAGGCTGCTACATTGCAAGGGTTACCTAATAAAAATATAAACAAGATGTGACATGTAGGAGTGGTTGCCAGTTTTCTGAGCGTATACAAGGACTGGGTTTTTTATAATAGATGCCACGGCAGGAAGGAGTAAAGCAGAGGCTTTTTATTTAACATGGACCCAGCTTTAGGCATCAACAAAATTAAAACAAAAAAAATTCTCAAATCTTAATTAACTTGCCAAGTTAGAAGTCCTGTGAAAAGAAGAGTTTTAAAAAAAGACTTGTTAGTAATGATCAAATGGCTAATTAAGAAAAACTGGAGCGTGACAGAATGAGATAAAATCCATAAACTGCCAACAGAGCTTTGGTCTACATGTATGGAAAAAAGAAGCTCATCAGAATTAGGAATGCATGATGTAAACGATATACGGTAGAAACTATATAAATTTATCCTCTGATAATCTATATTCTACTGACCAACCGCACAATTCTTTTAGATGATGTAACCAGCTGGAGTCAAAACAGAGGAAGCAGGAAGCAGCGAYGCTGAGAGCGCAAATGAAGAGGGGAAAAAACTTATCTGGACCTGGTTCAGGTGTGTGAAAATGAACCCCGAACTGTTCACATATTTACGTGACGGCGCTCCCTCTGCTTGGATGCCGACCGACCACACTGCCTGCTGCAGGAGGAGCGAGCACCGCTGCATGAGTGAAGGGCTCGACACACGGGAGGCGACGTCGCTCGCTCTCCATTCATTTCCACGCAGCGAGGCGACTGTCAGTGCAGGTGAAGTCAGTGCTCAGGTGGGACGCACAAAAATCAGTCTGGACCTCGTTTCTCCTGCGGTCATAGCGCAAGGACGCACGGCCGAATGCACGCGCACTCTAAAGCGCTACTATAATGATTGTCACCCTGCTGGAGCGCGCCAGATTAAACAGGTGGAGTGCAGAAAAAAATAATCTGCGAAGTGTGTAGAAAGGAATAAATAGAAACAATTTGTTTTACCACCTTAAAACGAAGCAGGTGAATGGATGCAGATATCTATTACATTAAAGTTATTGTGTGTGTGTGTGCTAATATACTGTGTGTGTGTATATATTA